TTATTAGTATGTCATCCAGATAAATAGCAACCTCAGGTAGACCTTGCAAAACGTTCTCCATGGTCCGCTGGAAAAGGACACATACTGATGATACCCTGAATGGCTGTCTTTTATATTGTATTATATTACGATAATTGTAGCATACTTCTGAGACTCCTCATCCAGTTGCAATTGCAGGTAGGCATGGCTCATGTTCATAAAGGGTAGCCCCCACTACGAACTTTGCTTACAAGTCCTCTATACGAGGGACTGGATACTTATCCAGCTGCGAGAAGCAGTTTACCGTTTGCTTAAAATCCCCACAAAGGTGAACTGAGCCCTCAGGCTTCACAATCGGTACGACCAGTGCTGCCCATTCTGCAAACTGCACTAGTTTGATGATTTCTTCACTCTCCAGACCCCTGATTTCTTCCTCTACTTTTGCCCACAAGACAAATGGCACCAGGTGGGCACTGTATCCTAGTCTACATGTAGAGTGGCTTTGGCCCCTTTGATAGTCCCACGCCCTTCCTGAAGTACTCCTGAATACTTCACTAGGATTTCACTGAAGCAGCCATTTTCTAATTGAAAAATGATGAGCCAGTCCAAGTGAATCTTTCTCAACTAATTCTGCCCCAATGGGCTTGGGCCTGAGCCTTTTACTACCATCAGTGGTAACTGTGCCAACTGCTTCTCCAAAGGAGAATGGAACCAAAGTCATGCCCTTAATCTGCAATGGTTCCCCAGTGTATGTTCTCAGGCTGGCTGAGGCCTTGTGCAAACTTAAAGGTTGGAGTGCTGAGCAAATTCTGTTAAAGACAGATTCTACAAATACTGATTCAGCTATGCCAGTATCGACTTCCATAGGAACTGGGTGACCATTTAACCAAACATTAATTTGAATCAGTTCTGATTTGGATGTCACTAAGCAGTTTATTTGTTCCAACCCACATGTAAGGGGACTTTCCAGGGTGTGCACTCTCCTGCTTCTGGCCTACGAGTTTTCTTACTCAAGTCAGGCCTTGTAGGACTCCTTTGCTGACTCGAGTCCACATACCAGCTCACCGGCCCAGATCCTGAAGAACATTTGAACCACTTGGCCGAGGCTCGGCTTTGTTGTGGGATTCTGCCGTGGGTTGGCCTTGTGTCCCTCTGCTCAGGACATGCCCTGTGTGAGGCTCTGCAATTGCCTACACTCAAGTGATGTTCCCCAAGCTCAGTCAGAGAGGTGAGGGAATCCACTTCCATTGGGTCGTCCTGTAGCTCCCAAGCTCCTCTTGCTGCATTTTCCAATGACAAAGCCAGGTGTAGTGCCTTTTTGAAGTCCAGTTGGGCTTCAGCTAGTAGGTGCTTCTGCATGGTTACATCATTAATCCCACATAACAAATGGTCTGTCAGCATCTCATTCAATGTTAATCCAAAATCACATGCCTCTGCCAATCATCGTAACCTCGTCAAAAATTGCAATACGGACACCCCCGATTCTCTGACAGCTAAATAAAACCGATAGTGTCTCAGGATTAGAGGAGGTTTGGAGTCGTAATATTCCCTAACCAACTCTGTCAACTCTTGGAAGGCTTTATTGTCTGATGCCTCTTGGACAGTTAAGCCCCTTATAACTGAAAATGCTGTGGCTCTGCAAGCAGTCAAAAGGATTATTCATTGCTTTTCGTCTTCCCCGATGTCATTTGCCCTGAAAAATACCGCATTCTTTCCACATACTGGGCCCAATCTTTGACAGCAGGATCAAATGAGTCAAGCTTCCCAAATATAAGCATGATGCCATAAATGCTTACCCCAACTCCAAGATAACTGTTACAAGCAAATGTTCTTTAGGCACGTCCTGTTTTATCCCGTCACCACTGAAATAACTGCACAGAGGCCAATATCTTCTCACCAAGTCACCTCTTATTTACTTGCGCACAGTACACTGGCTGTGGCCAGCCAGCTCAGAGTCAGCCCTCTGAACGGAAGAGATTCTAAATCTCCTGGTTATTTTTTTCAGTAAAAAACACCAGGTGTGTAAATAACTTTATTAACATCTCCAGTTTATATTGGTCATCCAGGGCTTTCCTGATTTGCCCAGGTTAACAACCCTAATAAATGACCTCATAGTCAGCAAGGTCAACCTGGTTCCAATCACTACAAGTCTGAAAGGACGTAGCTGCTCGACTGGATCTGCAGCATGTGGTGAGGAAACCAAAAAGAAGGAATAACTTAATTGATTTCTTCCTCACCAATCTGCCTGCAGCAGATACACCTGTCCATGACAATATTTATGGGAGTGACCATCACAGAGTCCTTCTGGAGATAAGTCCCACTTTCACATTGAGGATACCTTCAATTGTGTTGTGTGGCACTGTCACCGTGTCGAATGGAATAGATGCTGCATTAGATGCAGCGACTCAAGATTAGGCATCTCTGAGGCACTTTGGCAATCGGCAGTGGCAGAGCTGTATTCACCCAGTCTATAACCTTATGACTAAGTATAACTCCCAGTCTACCATTACCATGGAGCTAGCATTTAAGCCTGGTTCAATGGAGAGTGCAAGAGGGAGTTCCAGGAACAGCACAAGACCTACTTAGAAATAAGATGCCGATCTAGTGAAGCTGCAACACGGGACTATATGTATGGCAAACAGCACAATCAGAATGAAATAGGCAGAGCTGAGCAATTCTACAACAAACTGATCAGATCAAAGCTCTGCAGTCCCGTCACATCCAGTCATGAATGACAGGGGGTAATTAATCTAATCACTGCAGGAGGGGTTTCCACAAATAACCCCATCCTCAAAGATGAAACATCCCAGCACCTCAGTGCAAAAGACAAGGCTGAAGCACTTGCAACAATCTTTAACCAGAAGTGCCATGTGGATGATCCATCTCAACCTCCTCCTGAGGTCCGCTGCAACATGGATGCCAGCCTTAAGCTAATTCAGTTCATTCTATGTGACATCAGGCTATGGGCCCTGACATCATTCTCGCAATAGTCCTGAAGATTTATGCTCCAGACCTAGCTGCACTTCTAGCCAAGCTATTTAAGTACAGCTACAACACTGGCATCTACCCAGCAATGTGGAAACTTGCCCAATTATATCTTATGCACAAGAAGTGAGACAAATCCGGCCCAGTCAATTACCACCCCATCTGTCTACTTTCAATCATCTTCAGGGTGATGAAAAGGGTTGTTAACAGTGCTATCAAGCAGTGCTTGCTTAACAATAACCTGCCAGGGCTACTCATCTCCTGACCTCATTACAGCCTTAGTCCCAATGTGGACAAAAGAGCTGAACTCAGGAGGCGTAATGAAAGTGACTGCACTTGATACATTTGGCAACATTTGACCATGAGTGGCATCCAGGAGGCTGAGCAAAACTGGAGTCAGAAGGAATCAGGGAGAAAACTTTCCACTATTTGGCTGGCAGAAAGGAAGATTGTTGCGGTTGTTGGAGGCTTGAGGACATCTCTGTTGGAGTTCTTCAGGGTAGTGTCCAAGGCTCGTCTTCAAATTCATCTTCAGCAGCTTCATCGATGACCTTCCCTCCATCGTAAGCTCAGAAATGGGAATGTTCACCAATGATTGCATAATGTTCAGCACCATTTGCGACTCCTCAGATAGCGAAGCAGTCCGTGCCCATGCGCAGCGAGACGTGGACAAATGTCCAGAATTGGGCTGATAAGTGGCAAGTAACATTCACACTACACAAGTCCCAACAATGACCATCTCCAACAAGAAAGAATCTAACCATTGGCCATTGCCACTGAATCTGCCACTGTCAACATATGGGGTGGGGGTAGTTACCATTGATCAGAGGCTGAGCTGAACCGAACCAATCACATAAATACTACGGCTCCAAGAGCAGGTCAGAGACTAGGAATTCTGTGGTGGGTAGCTCACATCCTGATTTTGCAAACCTGTTCACTATATACAAGGTACATATGAAGAGTGTGATGGAGTACACCCCACGTGCCTGAATAAGTGCAGCTCCAACAACACTCAAGAACCTTGACATCAGTCAGGCCTAGGCATCTGGCTAAATCAACATCCTGCTTAATCGACATCCTGTTTGTTAGCACGATGGGTGTACGTACATTACATGGATTGGGGCAGTTCAAGAAGGATGTTCACCACCACCTTCACCAGGATATTTGGGATGTGCAATCAATGCTGACCAAGCCAATGATTCCAACATCCCGTGAATGCAGAAAGAAAATATGGACATAATTTTAGGAAGGCATAATAGCTACCCTTGCTTGTACATCCTTAACTAATAATCGAAACAAGTTGAGTATGAGCAGATCTTTGCAGCAACTGTAAATTGTTTGTCTTAGATTGATTCAAGCAGACAACAACAGTGTTATCTTCCTGTGAACTGAGTGGATTCATAAATATAAATACTTTATTGGATAGCTTATAGTAGAATATGCACAAAAAGTGCAGTTTTGTCAACAATTACTCAGTGACAGACTAATATTATATGTCCTGCTATTAGAAAGATATTTCAAGAAAAAAAAGTGTGGCTGAGTCTAAATGCTTACGGATTAAACTTGTAATTAAGAGAAGAAGCTACTGAAGGTTTGTATTTGTGAAAGGTTTAACAAATATTTTGAGCATTCAAATTTTACCAAATCCAATTTACAATGAGTACTGACAAAGAATTATTACATTTTTACTTATTGGTTACAGTGAGATACTTTAAATTGTTTCTGTTCTTTTCTGGCCTTAATATTTCAGCAATGCGATCAATGTGTTCACACTAACTGGAGTGATTTTCTGTGCTGATGAATTTCAGTGTTTGAGCAGTTAGGGTGCCACATTGCCTAAAACGCTAAGGCACGCTGGAGGGTAGTGACTTCACATTTTGTTTTTTGTAGTTCTTGTACTTTGTACAAAGTACTTTTGTACTTTGAGGTTCATTTATACACAACGGTGTTTTAAATTCAAGAACATGATATCTTTTGTATTTTGACTTTTGAAGAATATTGAATTCATCTTTTCTAATTCCATTCTATTGTTTTAGAAATGCATTTATGACGAAGAGTCCTGAAGCTAAGAATGTTGTGCAGTCTCATCTTTCATCTTCTAGGTATAAATGAAAGAAACAGTTTTAATCCTTTTTAGCTTATCCATTCGTGGAATGGCATCTCCTTGTCAACTGTAGACTGGATATCCAGAACTGTAAACTGGCACCTATTGTTTTGTTATACAGCTTGCTTCAACTTGCTCTTCCTTGACAATGCAATGTTTGTCAATGTGCTATTTCATGTGTGTGTCCAACCTGAAGATTTATGACCTGGTCATATAGATTCAGAAACCTATTCAGTATTGAGGTTTAGCTTAAAAGTTTACAAACTTAAATAATTAACATGCATTTAAAATACCAGGTTCCATTGAAAAAAGCAGGAGCATATGTGCAGCTTTAGGGAGCCAATAAGAGATTCACCCTCCTGGGTTTCTCCACTCTTCATTCGGCTTATCTGTAATGCTGTGACCAGATAGTGAATTGATCTCCTGGATTTTCTTAGTTCATATTTCACCTGTCTGGTTCCCATACGGAGGCTACACTGTCGCATATTCAAAACAATCTGCAACAATGAAACATCTGCATCACAATAAAACAATTCCATTTCATTTGAATAAGTTTGTCAATCTGAAGATTGTCTTATGGGTGGCATGGTGACTAAGTGGCTAGCGCTGCGACCTCATAGACCCAGGGACCAGGATCAGCGACTGTCTGTGTGGCGTTTCCAATGGATACTCTGGCTTCCTCCCATAGTCCAAAGACGTGCAGGTTAGGTAGATTGGCCATGCTAAATTGCCCCATATTGTCCAGGGATGTGCAGTCTAGGTGGATTAACCATGGTAAATGCAGAGTTACAGGGATAGGGTGGACGGTTGGGTCTGAGTGGGATGCTGTTCAGAGGGTCGGTGCAGACTCGATGGGCTGAATGGCCTCTTTATGCACTGCAAAAATTATATGATTCTAAGATCTCATTGATCAGCACGTCAAGCAATAACTCCAAATGCTTTTTTTCATCATCACTCAATTGAGTATTCCTGATGTTTTAACACTTCTGAGGAGTTTTAGGACCAAAGTTATCCCTGTCATCACTTCTCTAAGGCCCTGGTCCCAAACAGTATTTGAATAATTTCCAAAGGCATCAACATATCTGTACAACAGAGATGCCTCCTTTATTATGAATTAGTTAACTTCCCCAGTTATTTTTGAACTTCCCATTCTACCTTATATGATGTTACAACTCAAAATCATTTAACTTTCTTGTCAGTACTGTACATCTGCTATACAACTTGGCAGTGTGCAACTGTGCATTATTTAGGGGTCACTGTGACCAGCAGGACGGTCTATGCACACCACAACGTTTAGTTTGCTGGTACTGAAATTATTCAGTAATATTACGTGGGTGTGTATTTGCCACTGAAGAAAATAGCCTCTCTCATTACCAGAAACACAGTTCCAATTTAAATCACTCACATGTGAAGCTACCAAGTAGCAATAAGGCATTTATTTAGAAATATATAAGATTGCAAGAAGAGTCGAGCCATACTGCTTCCTAGTGTTTCCAAAATGACTGAATTCGGAGCCAGTTGAACAATTTATTTGTTTTAAAATGAGAAGGGCCTGTATTCAGATGTAATCCAGTGTAGAGAAAAACTCCTGAAGTAATTTTATACTCATTGATTGTCCATGGCATTGCAGATGGAAGAGAACAATTGTAATCCAATTAGGCGATGGGAATTGACTGGGCTGGGCTGCCTTGACATAATTCAATGCCAATGATAAACTACAACATTCTGGTTTTTATTTTCATAGCTCTGATATCAAATTCACTTTCAAATTTATGATAGAAACTGCCTATGTTAAACATGTGACACTGTAATTGTGACCTCCTTCCCACCACTAAAGCTCCTTCACAGCGTAATTATAGTATGTCAAGTGCACATAGACAGATTTCACTATAACCATGACCATGAGAATTTAAAATGGAAACATGACCTATCAATTATTGACTGCTATGAGACCCAGAATACTATACAAACAGAATGGCATCAGTAAGGAAGCTGGTGTCTACCTTAAGTAAAAATATTGCCAGCACTATTTGTGGGATTCAAACAAATAACAGTGTCATGCTGATACAAAACACTTCAACATCTTCAATACATTTACCATTTTCAGATCTTTTTCTCCCTGGAGCCTTCTTGCCCTGTTTCTAAAACTCCCCTTTGTCGGTGGGAAATATATTCAAACCAAAATGTGCATATTGAACAGATGGAGCATTTAATTATAGCATTCACACTTTGGCTTTCAAAGTTGGGTGGCAATGGGGGAATGGATTTCCATTCACTCTTTTTACAGGACAGATGGAAAGATTGTGTGTAAAGAGAACCCCTACAGTCCCAGATTAGTCTGCAGTGTACACAGGACATCATGCCAAGTGGCACTGTTACATCCATGCAATTGAAATGTAAATATTAGTTTCAAGGAGGACTAGATAATAAAGCTGCCTTGTCTTGCCTTCCCTTTAAGAATGCTAACCTGGTTCCTTTTGCTGCTGCATAGACTTACAGTACTTCAGATGTGACTAGCACCAGAACCCAAACTTAATTTCTTTTATTTATTCCCTACCCTATAGGCTGAAACCAGGAAGCAGCGCCAGTAATGACGTGGTCACGGATGCCTTAGATTTTGATCGATTGAAGCAGGTATGGCTGAACTGGAGATGCTATCAAATATGAAATGTTTCCTATAATGGAGTTTAATCTTCGGAGTAATAACAAATCTTGTTTTGACCTGCTCAGTTAAAATATGTAATGAGGTATCCTTCCTGCACCTTGTATAAACCGGCTTGCATTTTTATAATGTAAACTCAACAGGAAATACTGGAGGAAGTCGTAAAGGAACTGCACAAGGTGAAGGAAGAGATTATTGATGGTAGGCACTATTTTATTGTTGACTATGATAAACAGTGAAATACCAACATGTTTGAGGGATCAGGTCCCACAATGTGCTCTGTTTCTTTAAGAAGTTTTAATGGTCCCTTGCAATTAGTTAGCCCTCCTAACTGGATCAAACTTAATCTGAATTACCATCATTTACAAAACTTATCTAAAATTCTAGCACTAAATGATTGGCTGACCCTCAACAGGGATCTAAGACGCGTACTTTAAATGAAAACTATGTACAGTGCCTGTATATTAGTATGGGCAGTCTCTGGATTGCGAACAGGTTCTGTTCTGGAGTCTGTTCACAAGTCAATTTGTTCCCAAATGGGAACACAATGCAGGACAATGGAAAGCAGCTGTTCATAAGTACAGGAAATGTTCATATGTCGGGTCTTTTAAATTGCCTGTATGGGATCGTGTTCATAAGTACGAGCATTTGTAAGTCAGATGTCTATAAATCAGGGACCTTCTGTGACTAAATTGCCTCCTCCATGCTTTTATAAAAAAGAACTCTGGAAGGTCACCACTGCCCCTTAGTGGAACAGTAGAGAACTGAACCTCCTGTTTTCCAAATTTCAAAATAATTCACCTTTGCCATTACAATGCTTTTTTGGTCCATTCAAATGACAGGTATCTTAAATATGTTCAGATTTATGTAGTATGCCAACAAAGGTTTCTTTCAACTTTTTCGAAAAAAATTAAGCCTTGATCTTGTGTAATATATTTCATCCAGAATGTATGGATGCTTCTGCATAACCTTAGAGGTTTGAATATAAGACTCAGCTGCTAAACTACATTGAATGATAATATTAAGTATTATTTCATTGTCTATAGCTATTTGAACAGTAAAATATTATATTCATATTCCTATTAACATTACCTTTCTGTGTTTTAGCCATTAGAGAAGAACTGAGCAGAATCAGTACAACGTAATGAATTTTGCACTCTGGAACATGGGGTGTTCTGAAAGGAATCGGGGAAGTTGAGACAGCTGTGTGGGGTATTGTGTGGAAGATGACTATGAGAGAAGCTATGCACTGAATGTCACGGTCGCTTTTAAACCCTTCATTGATTAGTGGACTCAATATGCTCTGCTGCTTACTGCCTTGGATCTGCTTCACATGAAAAGTCTTAATTCTCCAAAACAACAAAAAAAACTTTCAATAATTTTAATACTTGTGGATCTTGTTTTCTAGGTTTTTCAAAAAAAATTGCACATCTGTTTTATGTTAGCCTTTGTAATTTTTTATTAGCTTATTTAAAGGTTTACATTATTTCTAGATTATGTTTTTAGAGAAGAGCTTCAACACAGACACACACAACACATTTTGCTTTTAGTAGATGAATAAGTTGTTCTTTCTACCTTAAGATGTTACCACAGTATTTTTGACTCTGTTTTGAAAATTGTTGCCAACAAAGAGATCCTTGTAGCATCACTGAAAAGGCAGAAACTTGTAAAAGTTGTAATATGACAATGGTAACTGATTTCTCAACAAATCTTTCAAACGTTATTAAAACAAAGTACATCAATGCAAATTGTCTATGTTCATGGTAGAATGCAGGTGATACAAGAATATTCAAGTTAATTATAGTTAGTAGAAATGTTCCATGTACCAATCACCATGATCTATAGAGATGGCTCATTGACTTTGGAATGCTCAAAAGTATTTCCAGGTAAATAGCATCTCACAAACTATTCACTAGAATTAGATTAACCAAATCCTTAATGGAGCTAGAACTGTTAAATGTCTCCCTTATTCCACAGAGTTTGCTGTCAACTTGGTCCTATGCCATAAAAAAAAATTAAGTGCAACTGTGTATGTATGTATGTGCTGAATTTAATTGGACATCTTCGTGTTGATTGCCAACAATTATGTTATTCTGGGGACTGGGTCAGCATTAATTGAATGTTGAGCATTTTCATATGGATAGGAAGATTCTGTGTTAAGCCCCAAAGTTTATAAATAGACATCTGTGTTGTTTCAAATATGATAAATTAAGTTACTGAAGTGGGAAGGTTCAGCTGCACTTTAAATTGTACACACCAGATGGCACACTGTAAGTCAACTGATGCAAGTTCAAGATCTACTGGATTTTAAACAAATTCATTATATCTGCAAAACATGTTCAAAATCCAAAGTACCATCTTTAAAACTGATCATATTTCAGCTCATAATTGAACCTGTTTAATGTCATTTTTTTAGATTACTGTGTTTTAATAATCCCTCACTATTATAAATTAAACATTCAAAACCAGCTATAAAGTTGTGGTGGATCCTGTTAGTCTCACAAATTCAACAATGCATGAAAAGCTAGTTTGTTATGATATGATCTCTTGACTCCTGTTAAGATTTAGACAGAGCAGCACCAGCGGCTGTAACTATTGTAATCTCACAGTAATGAGAACAATGTACTGGGTTTGTTGGTGAGTTGGGAAACACCAGAGCCAATAGAGAGCTGGCAGGAGATGAAGAGTAATTGAACCAGCCAGAGCAGTGATGAAATGGCAAACAGGCAGAATAAAAATGAAGATGAAATTAAAGTGAGGAACATGAGATCTATTTCATGAAAGCCTTTTTTATTATTGTGTTCAATTGGATTTGCTGAAAATCTGGACTCCTGGACCAGGTTTTAAAAGGTTCCTGGTTCTGCTTTTGTTTTTTTTCAGCAAATTAAAGGATATTCAATGCCCTATCCCATAGTGCACATTTACCTGCCATAAAAAGGTATTCTAAGCCCGCAACACAGTGACGTATTTAGTCAAATAACATCTGGGCAAAAAATGCTTTTAGGATGATTAATTACATCTTATATCTGAAGGGGAGAGAGTGCGAGTGCAGATGCCTTGGGCTTCAGAACAACATTACTGCGCTCACTTCCACTCTGCTCTGTGGTAAGTGAGGGCTGCACATTTATCTAAGAGCAAATTGTCCACTGTCCTTTTGGCAACATATGAGCCAAAAGGTTGGATTTTATATCAACTACAAATTTCCCAATTATGTCTCCCATATTCAATTTGTTAATATATACCATAAACAGCAAGGGACCCAGCACTGAACCCTGTGGATCATCATTGGAAACAAATTTGCATTTGCAAAGATATCTGTCAACCATTACACTTTGTTTTATGTTACTGATCCAATGTTTGATCCAACTCACCATATTCGCTTGAATCCCATGGGCTTTATTGTTTCTGACCAGTCTGTCATGTGGGACCTTGTCATGATTTACCAAATCCACATGGACAAGATCCACTGCCTCACCCTTGTCAATCTCCTTGTTAGTTCCTCAAAAAGTTATGTCAGTAAGACACATATTTCCTTTAACAAAACCATGCTGGTTAGTCCTGATTAATGCATGCCACCAAATAACAGTTCATGCTATCCCTCAGTATCAATTCTAGTAATTTGCCAACCACCAAGGTGGACTAACTAGCCAATAATTATTTGGCCCATCTCTCCAAATAATAGTGAGGATTGGAAAATGATCCTCAGAGCATCCATGAATTTCTCTTGGGCTTCTTTTAACAACTTTAGATATAATTCATCCACCCTGGCTAAATACCTTAATTATCTCCTTTTGTGCCTCAGCATCAAATTTTGTTTGATAACACTTTTGTGAAATACTTTGAGAAGTATACTATATTAAAGCATAATATAAATACAAGTTATCATTGAGTCATTCCCATGAACAGAATCTTCTCTGCCCTTGACCAACGTAGGTATTGGTAAGAAAGCTTTGTAACTTGGTAAGAGAAAACTGTGTGAGGTAGGCAATAAGGAGATTCTCAGCATCAAGAAGTCCCATTCTCCAACCAAGTATTGAACAGCAGGATAAGAATCTCACTTGTGAGAAGTGACAGCTTCATTTGCATCAATTTGTATGCATTAACACCTCATTCTTAGCTAATATCATCTCATTTTCTTGTATTTTCCCATGTTACCACTCATGGGATAGTTACTAGGCAGCAACATGGAAGTCAGAACCGCGACCTGGTGACTCTGACTCATTGCTTGCTCCTCCAGCCTTCCATCTTGGCAGCAGGGTCACCAACATCTCCGAGCATGCTCCACAGGCTGTGACCATACATATCTACTCGCAATAAGGTTCTGCACCTCAATGCCGCACTTTGGAGCATGCTGTTTCCATGACACTTTGCATGTAGGGACTGACATCCATCTCATGGATCCCACTAGGCTGCATCACAGGCTCCCTGCTTGCCCTCTAAGTGCCCACTGACTTGCACTTGTAGGTGCATGTGCCATCTCTACCTTACCTTATTTCACTTTGGCCCCTCAACCAGAGCTTAAAGACCCAAAGCACTTCTTCTTAACTTGCCTTTTTGCACATACACAAAGCCAGGCATTTTGTCATGGTTGTTAGCAGTTACTGCATGGCATCCTGCTACATCAATCTCCCACTCCCACTACATAACAATAGTATATGAGGCAAACACATGGCATGTGCTTCAACCAAATGGCCCTGTCTAAGAGGATTAGTCCTCAGTAGGGTCAAAGAAGACAATTTTGAGTCAGGGTGTCCCAGCACAGTTAGTCAATGGTAGTTCCCACTATCCAGGGGCTTGGATATGGTCAGTTGGCCACTTGGAATGGTCAGGGTCAAGGGGTCTCATTTACTGCGGTGCAGGAAGTGGGCCACAGTCAGTTCTGCAGCCAGTCTGAGACTAGTGCTAAGTCAGTGAGGAAACAACGCAGAGCTCAGTCAAAAGACTAGTCCATCATCAGTCATCTGTGTCCTTCCAAATTGGTCAAGAGGGTGTGACACAGTCAGTCCGAGGGTCTGCTCATTGAAAGTCAAGAGAGGGTTATCAGGGTCCACTGCTCTGTTAGGAAAATGGGGAATTCTTTTCTGGGGATTGAATGCTGAATGCTAGGATGCAATAATTGTGAAGGGGAGCTTTCAACATGTAAACATTGGGGAGATGACAGCACATTAGAGGACATGAGTTACTGCAGGATGGGGAGGCTCATTAATGGTCAGCATCACCCTGGCTTCAAAAGGAGGACAGTGCAGCATGATGGTTGGTGTGACTAAGCTGTAGGGCTGGGGCTTAGGGGATGAGGTTGTAGGTCAATGTCATGAAAGTTGCGTAGGAACATTTGGAAGCTCAGTTCTGATGGGCTCAACAGGGAGTGCCAGGAAGAAATGAAATGGAGCTTGAGGGAGGGCTCTGGATTACCAGGGTGAGCCTGCGACTCGTTCGGCCAAGTGTAACCCGCATTGACTTCCATTGACTCGTAAATGCATACTGCAAAAGGAAAATGGCTGCAATCACACCTGGGTGGGAAAGGTCAATGTGTTTTATTCCATAAGTGCTTTTGGGCTCTACTTGTGAATGATGAGTAACCCTTCAAGGGCAATTTCATTGATCAGGTCCTTTTCATAGTCCAGGTTGAAGTCATCTGTGATCGTAGCATCCTGCGTGCAGTGTCCAACTGTGTGGGATACAAATCCTGGCCAGTAGTAATCTTGACCATGTCATTGGTCATTACAGATTGACTGTAGGCATCTCTGAGAAGCAGAAGCAGACCTTAAATGTGTTACCTGCAGCCACAATTTGCAAAAATAATCTGAAGCCTCATAGGCTGCACAAAGGCATGGAACTGATTTTCTCTCCCCTTAAACTGTAAGTATTTGGAAACATGCTCTTACATTTAATGAAACCTCTCGCTTGATTTAGACCAGGAAGACAAACTATCAGTAATCATAAAGTGCTTACAATCTCCTACTGTACTCATGTGACGTGGCTTGTATTGTATTCATTGATCCCTATATATCCCATATAGAGACTTTCCATGGCCCTCTTTTTCTTGAGTCCTCCATGTTCCCCTGCCTTAGAGGAATTCAGTGACATGAAAATGGTTGGACGAGCTCTTGTTGTTGATGGAGGAGCAGGAAAGGTGCTGAGGTATCCCAAGTAAATCAATAAGGAATGCAGAGGACAGGAAAGGTTAGTAGTTTGGATGGATGGGATGGGTGAAAGCATTTGAGAGAAGAGAATTCATGCAGTAGAGTGGTAGACCATGTGCCTTGCGAGGAGGTGAGTGCAGTGGTAGAGTTAGAGAGCGGACGAGAGGGCCCAGAAAATGTTGTGGCACTTACCCCTGCAAAACACAAAAGTGTTTTACAGCATTGTTGCACTTTCCTCCAGTGTCAGATGCCACAAGGCAAGTTCAGACTAGACTGGCAGGTTCTGGTGCCATGGTCTCCTCTGGTGGTCCTAGGGAAAGATGATGACCCTCCTCTCCACCAGTGCATCCACCATTACCTCCAGGTGCCTGTGAGCAAAGATCTGCCTGCCATCTCCTTTGGAATTGTGCAGCATCACACTGTGAAGGGCAATTCCAGGCTTGCAGCATTTGAATTGGTGTACAGCTGCAATTTAAATATGGCATGAATGCTAGAATGTTTCATACAGTTTCATGACCTATGCACTTTGAATCAGTTTCATTGTGCTAGAAGGTCTACTGCAGCATGTATATTAATGTATGAAGATCTGACGTTCAGCAATTGCAGATAACACAGAAAACTTACTTTCAATTAATTCCAATATACATCTTTGAAATAGAACATTTCAGAGTTCCTAATATGATTATTAGCATATTTAGAGATGGGCATTGATAACCAGACTCAGGCTTTCAAACTAAAGCTACATTTTCCCACAAGTGTTAATATTAAGCCTATATCTCCCAGCTGCTCATATATCCTGATAGTAATTGATGCAGGCTAGTATAAGAACAGCTTCATCTTTTGTTTCCAGTGTAATAGACACAAGGTTCAAAAGCTAGAACCACAAAAACAACAGCTGCAGCCTTCAATTCTGGTTCATTACTTTAAGCTGCACACATGGGAATGGTCACTTATCTAGGTGGTGGTAAAGGTAGTGTCAAAGAAAACTACACTTGGAGCAAACAAACATTTTAAGCCATTAGCCCATTTTTAAGAAAGTTACATATAGGAAATTGATGTTTTGAAGAAATGTGTCATTCATGGCATCTCGCTTAATTAGTAATGATGTCTGTTTCGGGGCTGTGCTGAAGTTATGTTATTTTCTTTCTGTAACTTCCACATCACTTGTTGCACTGATGTAAAAAATGGCAATATAAATCAAAAGTCAATTTCCAATCTGACTTTGGCATGCACTAGCGACAAATAGTAAGGCAGCTCTTTCATATCATTCAGTCTTTAACTTATATGGCTTGCAATTCCTGACCTGTTAAATGGCTGGATTTGTGGCACAGTAGTAGTGTCCCTAACTTTGAACCAGGAGGCTTGGATTCAAGTTTCACCTGCTCAAGGGGTGTAATATAACATGTGTGAATAGGTTATTAAAGATACATTTAACAGTGTTTCAGTGTCCTGTGATATGTCCTTAGCATTTTATGAACTTATTGCGGGGCCTTTTTCAAGTCAACAAATTTCTAAGTTAAAGGCAGGAATATCAGTTAGACAGTGGAGCTGTGCACACATTTATACACTTATTTACAGGCAGGTCTCTCAACAAAAACACATCATAATTTGACCCTGAAGAAGAAGGTTTTTTTGACACAGAAGATCCCAGAGTACTAACCCTCAATCAACAGAGCCAGATTACCAGGTTTTTATTTGTATTTCTTACCATTATTCCTCTTTGTAGGTGTTTCCTATAAGCAAATTAGATGTCACGTTTTCCACAGTACACCAGTGATTAAGCTATGGATGTACGTCCTCGGTTGTAAACAACTTTGGGGTGCACTGAGGTTCTAAAGAGCATTTTATAAATGCAAATCTTCCTTTTTTCCTTTTTTGTACCATATTAATAATCCCATGTACACAGTTTGCATTTGCAGTAACCGAAGACAACAGATTATTCCAGAAAAGCTCAGGAACATACAATATTCAGTTACCAGTTCCAGACTAAAGGACTTCTGATGATGACTACGTTTTAAATAAAGTAACAATCTTTACTGTTGCTAACATTGATGTTGCCTATGACTCAGTTGCTTATCTGCGGTTCTATTCCTTCTCTAGGTAACAGGAGATCAGCTGACATATGAAGCAGGTGACACCTGGCACATACTATTTGCTTTTGGATATTCCTCTGTGTCATATTTTATAGTGATGTAAAGACGTTTTTAATTAGCTTTGATACAATGAAAGATTGTTTATTTTGTTCTTACCTGTATGCTTTGTCGAGCAACTTATAGTTTTGGTATTTGATAGCCATCATTAAAGTTTGGTGTCTCTCTTTGTGTACAGTAACATTGTGCACAAGAATCCAGCCACTTATTTTGGGCGGTCATGGAACTAAATCTCATCTCTAGGCAACAAGCACCTGGCTTTGTTTTGTTTTGCACTTTGTTTTTCTGGTGTCTACATGAATGCCTCACAGGTTTATTGCAGACAAATAAGAACTGTTTAGCTATAAATAAAAGAGGATTTATTTGCATGAAACCTGTGTTGCTAGAATATTGACAGCATAAAAAGGATTGAGTCATTGTTACTTATGACATTGTACAATGACCACCATTGGTAAATATATGTATTTGTTTGAAATAATGTACAGATTTCCAAATCGCTTAACAGCAAGTAGCTGAGTCACATCAACCACAGAGGCTCCAATTTCCATCCTAGCCTATATTACTAGCTAATCTCAGAATACACAGTGATAGGGCCACTCGGACTCATTGAGTAAAGGAGTGGAAAGTTAGTCAAGGCTGTAAATTCAAATACTAAGATAAAACAAAGAACTGTGGATCTTGGAAATTTCAAACAAAAAAAATGCAGAAAATGCTGAAGAAACTCAACAGGTCTGGCAGATCTGAACTACAACTGATTAGCCATAGCTGTGAATTTGTAAATGTGCCATGATGATAATATAGAAAGCACTGAGCATATATCCTTCAACAACTCACAAACCACCTCCCCACCCCGACACCCCCAACCTCACAAATCTCACTTCCCTGGCTCCTTTGCACCAAGATAAAAATGGCTTACTGACACTCATCATGGCTCAGTGCTAATGTTCTTGTCACTGAATTAGAAAGTTGTGGGCTAAAAAACTCACAAAAAGCATATGATCTACACTGACATCTCAATGCAGTATTCTGAGGGATGACTGTACTCTCAGAGGTGCCATCTTTCAGATGTCATGTTAAGCCAATGCCTTATTATCCTCTCAGGTGGATGTTAAAGATCCTTAAGATACCCTTTTTGTTTTCCTGATCAGCCTGCTTAAAGATGTTACAGTACACCACTGCAGCAGGTGGTATTTGAACCCAGGTCTCCTAGCTTAGAGTTAGGGACACGACCACTGCAACACGAGAACCATACCTTAACTGCCTGAAGAGGGATGGAGTTCTACAAGTGCCCTAAGCAATATTTACGCCTTAACTAACACCAGGAAAACAGATTATAATTTATTATTACTGTTTGTGTGCACTTTGACTGCCAACTTTTCCTATTAAATAAAAAAGTGAATTAACCTGTTCAGACCTTAATCCAGGGCAGGTGGGACTTGAATCTAGAAACAGGGAGACTACCATATACACATCAAGACCCTTCTTTCTCTATTAAATACTGATGACATTTCAAAAGTACTTCATTGGCTGCAAAACACCCTGGAATAGCCTGAGTTTGTAAACACCATGTATTTTAATAAGGACTTTGGTAAACTCAGTGAACTAAGGAGTTTATTTTCATTCAAATGCACTGACCAAGACATTTATTGAGCTTTTGTAAATCTCCTCTGTACACTCTCTAGTGCGATTATGTCCTTCTTGTAACGTGGTGATCAGACAGCTGAAAATAACCCTGCATCTGAATGAAGTTTTAGACACTGAAGGTAGTGTGCCTCATGCTTTATTTCTCTTATTATAGCTGCAGAAGGGACTCCTTAATGTTCAAGCATGAAGATTTCTTCAATTCCTTGTACCAGCCATTCCATGGGCTTTTTAAGTTTGATTGCCAATACAAGAAAACAGGAATTTCATGAACTGAAAGCCACAATAATTACCAACTCCTTGAGCACATACACGGCAGATATGTGCAGAGTTTATACAGAAACAAGGAATGTCAGGCTAGGAATTAAATCTGAATGTAATCAGTTATGCACATGCTCTTTTTTAACTGTTTCAATCAAAGTAATTTTTGACTTCTCAGATGTAAATGTCTCAGGCAGAACAAATAGAGGGGAGCATCAGGTGAAATAATATATGTGGAAAATCAAAAGATTCAGTGACCTCAGATTACCTGAAATCCAGAACAATTTGGGTTTACCTTTAATTATGAAAGAGTTGAAGCTTTGGGAATCAAAGTAGTGGTATTAGACTAGTAGTGGACTAGTAATCCAGAGACCCAGGCTAATGCCCAGGGTCACAAGTTCAAATCCCACTAATTCTTTAGGGAAGGAAGTTGACCATCTTTATCTTGTCTGGCCACATGCGACTTCATGTTGTTGAATTTCCACTAAAGGAGTAATTTATGTCTGAGATGATCCAAAGGTATTGTATAACTTTAGGTTCTTTTAAATAGTTAAAACAAAATTAGCTTATTCCTGCTGTGACATGATGGTGAACTACTGAGAACCAGTTCAATGCTACCTGGCAGCAGGGTAATGCTTTGTTTCAAGAAATACAAAGTTCCATCTCCAGAGACTTTTTGTTTAAACCAATACAAAGGAAGTACAACAATGACCACCATTTGAACATTGAACAAAGAACATCAAGTGCTAGAGGACAAATAAGGAATGTATTCATTATATATATTGAGCTTTGGTTATGTAACTACAGGGAAAAGTTGGACTCTTTCTTTTAAAATTATGGAAGTAGGTTCCTGTTGTTTGTGACCAGTGATTTTTAGAGTGGATACCTAGGGGCTTTTTCCCCATTTGTGTATACTCCATATTTAACAAACAATCAAACAATTTCACAATAATTTATGCTCAACCAATTTTATTTCACATTCAATTTTCATTTTAAAATTTTCAAAAAAGACACAGAAGCACATCAAGCACTAAATTATATTATTTCCATAAGAATTATTAGAAAGATATCATGACATTATGTTAACTTTTAAAAACTGTTTATGCAAAACAGAATAGTTCTTAGACATAGTCCTTGCATGGATCTCAAATATTTATTATGTCAACAGAAATTTTCAAACGATTCACTCAAAGAAGAAATTTTTTTTATAGTCTGCTTTCACTAGAAGAGCAGAACACTTCTTCCACAATCTTACTGCTGGCCAACTTGGTGAATTTTTGGTTTCACTAATTTGGAATGCTCCATCTCATGATCTGGCTGAGATTCGCACAATTCAATAAAACCAGATCAAAGAATAGCCTCAGCCCAGATTCATTCAGGCAATGATGTCACATTAAAAATAACATTTTCATTCCCTGTTGTAAGAGTTTAAAAATGATATATTTGATTTCAAACAGGTTGGGTTATGACTTTTCAGTTTAATCTTTGAAAAGTAATCATTGCAGCAAATAAATTTATTTTAGCAATATATTATATACTTATTGACAACCAGTGATGATCGCATCTAATGCAAAACTCCTTGTTGCTTTACTATTTGACTAAAATACTGGCTTTTCTTTAAAAGAACTATGTGCCCATTTTTCTCAATGTCTCCTCATTCGACATTGCTCTCAGCCCAGACACCCTGAAATGAATCTAGTGAACATTTGTGTACCCTCTCTTCATATTGTTTCTTCAGTAAAGAGACCAAAACTGTATGCCAATTGAAAAGCCTATATAATTGAAAGATTCCTTTACTCTTCTACTCTATTTCTTTGAAATAAAGGTATATTTGCTTTGTTATTTGCTGTGCCAATGTAATTCATATACAAGGATTCCCAGACCCTCCAATACCAGCATTTCCAATCTCTCACCATTCGCTTCATCTGCTTAAATCTTTTTCAACATCTTTGAAACCTCTCACAACATACTTCCCACCTTACTTTGAACCATCAGCAAACATTACATTAGTTCCCTCGTCTAAGTTATTGATATAGATTGTAAATATTTAAGGTCCTAGCATTGATTCATCTGGTATTCTGTCAATGAAAAATAGCTCATTTATTCCAACTCTCTATTTGTCCATCAACCAAGCCTTGATGCACGTCCGTACCATAAGCTCTAATTTCGTGCGATAACCTCGTGCAAAACCAGATGAATTTTTTTTCTTTGAAAGTCCAACACACTATACTTATTGATTCCTCGTTATCTATCTGGCGAGCTACAATTTCAAAAACCTCTAATGGATTTGTTAACCATAATATTGTTATAATTGAATGTCTCTAAGGAATTTGAAACACTTGACACAAGCAATATTTAAATAGTTTCATATGTGAGGGGTGTTGTTCTCTATTACGTAATTAGTCATAATTTACCCCTAGGTGTTTAATTTCCTCATTACACTTATTATTCACTGATATACTGGTTATTGCATTGTATTAATCCCTTCTCCTTTTATTTAGAAAGGAGTTAAACGTTTTGATTTAAATAGCTTGCATGTTAATGGCTGCATTAAAATATAACAGGGAAGGAATTAATGCACACATAATAAAAGGTAACACACAGCTCTTATTGCCGAAGGGGAGGCTTTTTATGTGTACCCCGGTAATTCCTCATTCCCATCTGTTCAGAGTAATTCAGGTCACAGATTTCATGGCTGCCAATGATGTTTCTCCATATTAACTGACAGGGAGACATTCCACAGAGAACATGTTTCCTTCCTTTGTGAGAAGTGTTACATATACACATATATTTCTGCACAGCTGTACAGAATGCCTAAATCCTTGCCAAATCAGGAGTCAAACCTGGGATTTAAACCAAGCTGCTTTTGCCAGAATTACCTACTCAGTCCTCTAGCAGACTATAGGCAGGTCCAATAGTGACATAACATAAGACAATTTTGAAAAAAAATTCAATAAGATTCTTTTCATTTTGCCCTCCAGCAGTAATTTGTGAAGAATTCTTTTAGTCTTCATGCCTTACAATCTCATTATTTAAGAGACATCTTTTTCCATATTTGCTCAAAGATGATTTGACAGTAAATGTGACAGAGTATAAAGAATCATGCCACAAATTATACTTTTTGCTCTTTATTTAAGGCAATAGGCAACATTCACAGACTCCATGAAGTAAGAAGTCAAAGTAGTGCAATCAAGGAAAAGAAATAGTTAAATTTATATAGTACATTTCACAACATCAGAACATCTCAAAGTGCTTTATAGGCAACAAAGTACGTGGAAGTGCGATCACTGTTGTAATGTAGTCAGAAATGGAAAGAAACAAAGAATGTGCCCAAAACAGGCTAGTGGTTGAAGCAGTGTCATCCGGATTATATCCATCGATGCTTCAGTTGCTAAACTAAATGTCTGAACAAATGAAATATGAGATAATACTATGTACACAAATTGGTCTGCTTATGTTTTTAAGCTGAAGCTTCATATATATGTGTATGTAGGCATATTCAAACACTCTACAAAGCAAATATCATTATATAATTACATCCATACTTCCATTAGTAGTGAAAAAATTGACAGTGTAGTCGCTTCATTGAAAACTGATTTTATCAGTCTATGCAAACATAGTTGGGTCGGGACAGTTCATAAAAGCAAAAGGCCTGGGGCATTAGGTGATTCTGATTATGTACTTTATGCTATGTCTTCCACCACAATGTTGTTGCAGTTGTCTGTCAGGTTCCTCTTTTCTCTTTTGTTCTATGGGTCCTTTGAAGAACAGCTGCATCACAATCTCCACACTCACTTACTAGCTCATTAGGAAATCTGCAATGGAGCAGAGGCATGAACATCTGTTTTGCATGGGAGTGGTTACTGGATAATTCATTCCAGTCAGTGGGTGCTGATGTATGCAACAATTGGAAACTAATGACATTTAGAATTTTTCCAATTGGTCACAGCATACATAACAGCTGTAAAGTTGAGATACTCATGAGTGGGGAAGATTTAACTTAATTCAAAAACAAAGGAGAAGTATGATAAATTAATCAGGCGACAGAGATGTCACTGGAAGTGCATTTTATCTCACGAGGTAACTACCTATTAGGTTATAGCCATATGTTCTCAGTACATTGCACATGCAAGTGATTTTAACTACAATGAAATGAATTTTTCAGCAGGGGCCGCAGAACTACTGGTATGCCTAATTTCCAAAGATCGACACTGAACCCTGAGTTTGACTCTTACAGAATAGGAGCTTAGTTTACTGCTCGAGTTCTTGGGTTCTTGAGACAAATGGATTTTACTCACCTTCATGCATTTTTTTTGTGTAACAAATTGATCTGAGCGTATTGTGTGTTATCAAATTTAAGCATTTCAAGTGAGGTGGAAAAATCCTTTAAATATCACAGCAATAAAAGATTTCTTGACATTGGCAGCTTTATTCTAGCAACATTAGCATCTGTTTGTGTTTGTGCATGAATGGAAAACTTTTGAAACTGGCTTCCTAGAAACAATTGTTATCTTCCTCAAGCTACACACAATCTAGTGGTATGTTCATATGACAGCTGGATTGATGCTATCAAGTAGTTTCACTTCAAAACAATGCTGCAGTTTAAATCCTGCCCAATTCTGGAGTTGGGGCCGATCTTAACCATAGTGAGACCTCACGGAGGGAATCTCATTCTGATTCATTTCAGAGTCCATTCACATTGACACTCAATTTAGATACATATTTAATATTAACCCAAAATACAATGAACCATCATGTTAAAATACATCATAAAGTAATCAGATGTAATTTAAAACAATTTTTAAAATTTCATAATTCATTCTGTTATTGATCTTATTTAATGTGGACTTTTTTTGTGGGATTGAGGGCACAGATCAGTTGTCTTGCCTATAAACAGAAAAGGAGGAAATGCACAAAGGGTCTGCTGGTAAACACTTTGAATCTAATGGTTGATTTCTCTTTTGTCTTTACAGTTGGTAACAAACCTGGTACGTTCTTTTTTCAAGCTTTTCGGGGATTTTGTTAATGATTTCCAGGAACCACAAGATTTCTTTTATTTCTCAGTCATCTTTCACCAGCTTGCATTCCCTCTTAATCCTGGAGTAAGGACCAATGCTGTCATCAAAAACGAAGTCCCAGAGCACACGCACCCAGGAAGTGTGCTGGGGCAGGTTGTCATAGTACTCAGGAGCGATCTGCTTTACCTAAAGGAAAGGAACAGTAGCATTGACGAGGTTTGCAAAGCTCAGACTATAAATGTAATGACAGTCAAAGTTATTAGTTTGTCTATGTTGCTGGTGTTTGATTGGAGCCATTTCAATCAGATAAATAATTAAATTATTTATTGATCCATGCCACCATTTAGAAGTAAAAGTATCTCCCTGTGTAACAAATTTATAAAACTGTCAGTTACAAAATGGTGTATCTCTTAATTAGACTAAGTGAAGAAAGGAAACCTTCCCTTGGTAGTAGTTAGAATCAATGGCCATTCAACACAGAATGCTCTTTGCTAATTTTTCAAATAGGCACTTGTCTTTGAGCACGCACATTTTTTATTCTTTCGGGGAATGTGGGCATTGCTGGTATGGTCAGCATTTATTGGCCTTGATAAGGGAGTGATGAGCTGCTTTTTTGACCTTCAGTAATCCATCTGGTACAGGTACTCCCACAGTTCTGTTAGAAAGGGAACTTCAGGACTTCTATCTAGTAACAGTAAAGGAATGGTGATATAGTTCCAAGTCAACGTGATGCCTTTGTGGCTTGAAAGAGAACTTGTCCCCATGTATCCACTGCCCTTGACCTGCCAGGTGATAATGATGTCAAGTTTGAAAGTTGCTGTAGAAGCAGCCTTGGTGACTTGTTGCAGTGCAAGTTGTACATAGTATTCATTGCTGACACTGTGAATTTTTGGTGGAGAAAGTGAACGTTTAAATTAGTGGATGAGGTGCAAATTAAACAGATTATCCTGGATAGTGTCAATCTTCTTGACTTTTGTTGCAGTCACACTCATCCATGCAAATTGAGAACATTCATTGGAGATGGTAGACAAACTTTGGTCTGTCAAATCATCCTAACAAATTCCTGCACTGGCATCCTGGTACTGAGATGGTTGCTTGCAATAAACATAAGCATCTTTCTTTGGGCTAGATACGACTCCAACTAGTGGAGAGATTCTCCCATTTCCATTGACTTCAATTTTGCCATCTCTCCCAAAAGCCAGTCTTGGTCAAATGTTGCCTTGATGTCAGTGTCTCGCATTTCGTCTTTCAACACTTTTTAACCAAAACTACTAGGCAGCAGGAGCTGTGTGTTCCTGGTGGAACCCAAACTAGGCATCAGTGTTCAGGTTATTGCTGTGTAAGTGTCACTTGATAGCAATGTCAACAATACCTTCTAATCACTTTGCTGACAATTGCAAGATTGCTGATGGCGCAGTAGTTGGCCTCGTCGGATTTGTCCTGCTTTATGGACAGGACATACCTGGGCAATTTTCTGTATTGTCAGTTAGATGCCAGTGTTTGAACTCTACTGGCACGGCTTGACTAGGTTGCAATTAGCTCTGCAGCACAAGCCTTCAGTACTATTGCTATAACAGGACATAACTTTTGTTGTGTACAATGCCTTTGTCAGTTTCCTAATATCAGCTTTCAGCAGTTTCTTGATGGTTCAAGGGAAAGTGGTTGTTTAGTGGAATTGTCACTAGACTAGCAATTCAGAACTACCAGGAAAATATTCTGGGGACATGGATTCGTATCTTGCCACAGCAATTGGTGGAACTTGAAGTCAATAGAAATCCATCCCAAAAACTCATCAGGTTCATAAATGTTCTTTGACGAAGGGAAATTTGCCATCCTTACCTTGTCTGGCCTACATGTGACTACAGATCTATAGCAACATGATTAATTCTTTCCTGCCCCCTGAATAATAAATGATGGCTTAGCCAACAACAACCTCATCCACCCAATGTGTGAATTTTAAAAAAAACACACAGAAAGAATCAAATTTGTTGGAGACTGGTATCTGTGTTGTTGGGCTTTTCAACCTGAAGGTACTTGCAAATGCTTCAGCCTTGCCTTTTGCACTCAGGCACTGGGCACTCCATCATTAAAAATGAGGATATTTTGTGGAGCCTCCTCCTTCTAGTAGTTATTTAATTGTCTATCATCATTCACAACTGAATATGACAGGACTGCAGAGCTTAGACCTGATCAGTCGGTTGTAGGATTATTTAGCCCTCTCTACTTCCTCCACATTATGGCATGCAAGTAGTTTGTGATGCTGCAAAGTTGACAAAAGCAGTTCCTAGTCTACAAGTGGTTTAAAAAAAAAAATCAGGAACATGTCTGTCAAATGAATTTTACAAGATTTACTGTTTTAATTCATCTATGGAACATGGGCATTGCTAGCTGAGCTAGCATTTATTTACTGATGTAACCTTTTACTCAGCATCTTTCAGTCCATAAGTTGTTCTTCAGTCACTCATAGGAGTGGTGATTAAAAATAGTATATGAAGAAACCAACTCGCAACAAATTCTCAAATCTGCAATGTAATCTGCTATTTTTTGTGAGCTGTCATGGAATGAGCCAAGAGTAGCTGTCACCTGTTCTGTTAAGCTCAGCCATTTTCTGGTTTATTTCCCAGGGCAAAGCCCTCACCAATCAGAATCAACTGTCTGATTTAAAATTTAAACAAAGTTTGGCTGTTAACTGTCTGTCATTATTCAACTGGTGCATTCTCCATGGCAATGTCTATACCACTCAGAATTCACTTGCTAACTATTCAGCACTGTCTCTTATACAGAATTAAAAAAGTCATTTTCCCTTTGCTTTGGTATTCTTTTGAATTGGACTAATGAGTGCAAAATAAAAAGCAGTAACAAAATAACAGCAAGAAGGCAATAACACCATAAAGACATAAGAACAGAAGTAGGCTATTTGGCCCATCGAGTCTACTTTGCCATTCAATGATATCAAGGCTCATCTATAATCAACTCTCCACTATCCTGCTGTTTTGCTGTAACCATTGATCCCCTTACTGATTAAAAATCTATCTTAGCCTTGAATATGTCTAGCCACCCACCTCAACAGCCTGTGCACCAAAGAATTCCACAGGTTCACTACCCTCTGAGAGAAGAAATTCCTCCACATCTGGGTCTTAAATATGCTGCTCCTTTTCCTGATATTAAAGATAAGTTATTAATTGTGTAGTCATCTGTAACTGGCAGAGAAACAGGATGATGCTGCATTGATTTGCATATAGGCCATATTTGTTACGAGATGTAATTTATGATTGTAGCCTAAATAAAAGTTAACCATTTTTCCAGGAAACAGAATGCATCTTTGAGTTACAGCCTGTATGAAGGAGTCATTAGCACCAATGAGCAGCCTCAATCTCAATAGTACCGATGCTTATATGACTTTTCTATTTAAAAAAAGCAGCTGCAAAATGCAAATGAATTCAAAGATCTATCAGCTAATGCTAATTAGCTGTCTACCAGCTCTCAGCTAGTCATTCCATGAGTGGGAGGAACATATTGTGGAGGCTTTTCTCCATTTGACTCCAATATTGGCACTAAATATTCAAATGGCAGAAATTCAACATGGGCCAGAAACAGTTGGAAAATGTTGAAGACAGATGTGCAAGATTGAAATGCAGTTTACTTCCACACAAAACCATGAAATGTGTACAACTCTGTATGCTCAGCAGATAAACTCAGTTGTATGGTTTTTGTACATTTTAAGCAGGTGATTGTCAATTATAAATTCTGCAAATAAAACTATTGTCGAATACTGTAGGAGACTGGACGTTGGTTTGATCAATTCTGGTAAGAACATGTTACAACATCATCTTAATTAGTAGTTAGAATGGCGTGCTACTCCATATAATGAGCTGAAATAATCATTACTTCTTTATTTTACCGTGAAATGAATTGTAACAACACTACTCTATTTCCAAATGTACATTTGAACAGATTAAAACTGCTACCAACTGGAATCTCGATTGGTCCCAACCCAAAACGTCAACTTTCCTACTCTTCTGACGCTGCCTGGCCTGCTGTGTTCCTCCAGCTCCACACTGTGCCTTCTTCACCACCCTGTCTACCTGCGACTTGCCTGATATCCTTTGATGTCGTTAATAACTAGAAATCTATCGACCTCTGCCTTGAATTTACTTTAATGATTAATCTTCCACAGCTCTTTGGATGGAGAATTCTAAAGTTTCATCCCTTCTGACTGAAGAAGTTTCTCCTCATCTCAGTCCTAAAAGGCTTGCCATTTATTGTGAGACTGCAACTCCTGGTCCTAGATCCCACAGCCAGGAGAACCATCCTTTCTGCAACTACTTTGTCCTTTTAGGAATTTTGTAAGTTCCTATAAGATTGCCAGAGGGCACAGGCCCAGTCTCCTCAATCTTTCCTCATAGCACAGTGCTGCCATCCCAGGAATCAGACTGATGGACCTTCACTGCACTCCCTGTTATGGTAAGCATATCCTTCACACATTACTCTAGGTGCAGTCTCACCAGTGTTCTATACAATTCAAGCAAGACGCTTAAGTTCCTGTACTTAAATCCTCTCATGATAAGGACACGCAGATCTTCTAAATTGCTGCTGCACCTGAATATTAGCTTTCTGTGATATATGAACAAAGACACCTATTTCCCTTTTGAACACTTTCCAAGCTCTCACCATTTTAAGAAATACTCCGCATCATCATTTCTCCTATTAAAGTGGATAACCTCACACTTATCCACATTATATTCCATGCCTTTGCCTACTCACTTCATCCCCGCTGGTTTCAGACTAATGAAAAGACCTCTCATATATTAGAGTTGATCTTTCTCTGCACCTTCTCTGTAGCTGGAACACTGTATTTTGAATTCTGTTCTATTACCCTGAAGTATTTATGTAAGGTATGATTTGTCAGGTTGGTATGATTGGTCAGGTTAGCACGAAAAATAATACTTTTCACTGTATCTAGCACATGTGACAATAATAAATCACAATCAAGTCCCTCAAACTTATTTAAATCATCTGGAAACCTCTTTTCATAAACCTCACAACTCATGTTGCCACTAAATTTTGTATCATCCACAAATTTGAAAAATTAGCAATTTGGCCCCATATCTAAATCATCGATATAGATTGCGAACAGTTGGGGTCTAAGCACTGTTCCTGTGGCACTCCACTGGTCACAGTCTGCC